CACCAACTGTGTCCCTTCCCACACCAACTGTGTCCCTTCCCACACCAACTGTGTCCCTTCCCACACCAACTGTGTCCCTTCCCCCACCAACTGTGTCCCTTCCCACACCAACTGTGTCCCTTCCCCCACCAACTGTGTCCCTTCCCGTGACGCAGGTGGTGTCCAGGACGCCAATCCTGCTGGTGACGGGGATTTTATTTATGTCGTATATGGCAGACATGATGAAACCCTCCCCCCCTCCCCTTCCCTTCCTGGGTTTAGCATTGTCACTTTGTTGATGGTATGACACTGCAGCATTATCAACCAGTGTGTGTGTGTGTGTGTGTGTGTGTGTGTGTGTGTGTGTGTGTGTGTGTGTGTGTGTGTGTGTGTGTGTGTGTGTGTGTGTGTGTGTGTGTGTGTGTGTGTGTGAGCGAGGGTTGAGGCTGCCGGAAACTGAGAGCATCGTCAACATAATCACTCCTTATCTCCTTTCCTGCATGAATGGTTGATGGACGCTCTAGAGAGAGAGAGAGAGAGGGGGGGGAGACAGACAGACAGTACCCATTATAACATACGCATATAACACATAGAAATCACAATAGCGTGATGCATCAGGCTATTGTGATTTCTGTGTTTGCGGGGTTCGGAGCTTCCAGGCATAGAAGGAAAGCACATGAATTCAGACACTTTCTGGTTTCAACACACTGGACTACACTCAAACATTGGGCTACAACCTCTCTCACAAACATTGGGCTACAACCTCTCTCACAAACATTGGGCTACAACCTCTCTCACAAACATTGGGCTACAACCTCTCTCACAAACATTGGGCTACAACCTCTCTCACAAACATTGGGCTACAACCTCTCTCACAAACATTGGGCTACAACCTCTCTCATAAACATTGGGCTACAACCTCTCTCACAAACAATGGGCTACAACCTCTCTCACAAACAATGGGCTACAACCTCTCTCACAAACATTGGGCTACAACCTCTCTCATAAACATGGGCTACAACCTCTCTCACAAACATTGGGCTACAACCTCTCTCACAAACATTGGGCTACAACCTCTCTCACAAACATTGGGCTACAACCTCTCTCACAAACATTGGGCTACAACCACTCTCACAAACATTGGGCTACAACCTCTCTCACAAACATTGGGTTACAACCTCTCTCACAAACATTGGGCGACAACCTCTCTCACAAACATGGGCTACAACCACTCTCACAAACATTGGGTTACAACCTCTCTCACAAACATTGGGCGACAACCTCTCTCACAAACATTGGGCTACAACCCGTCACTGGTACAAATGGTGTAACAGACACCATCTACTAACTTTCAATAGAATAGGCAGATAATTTGCTGCTGATTTACTACTAACAAATTTACTCAAAGAAAACGAGATTGCAGTGAAATTTTCCTCGAGAGAAAACGGGGATATGATTGCTATATGTCACTATTAAATTCACTAGCTATTAATACTGGTAATTCTTCTCAAACCATCAATCTCTGGACTGTAAACATCATAAAAATATTTCCCTTCAATGAACTTAATTATCATTAGTAGTAGAATAGATTAAATATGAGTTCTCTTTCCACTTCTTGATAAAACGACATCTGGTGTTGACACCGGATGTGTGAGTGGCAGAGCAGCAGACGCCATTAACATTTAACGTAAATGAACATCTCGCTGGAGCTCCACACTCATTTCCTTCTGTACTCGGTGTTGTGGAATGTAAACTGTTCCCATCATCAGCCCAGCTTCGTCTATAATAAGGGAAGAGTTCTGTACCCGATAACCTGTTAAATCTACCTATTCCTGGCCAGTAATAGATTAGGTATATCGGTTATAACCCATGACAAGGCACCCAAAAAGGGGAATTATTAATTAAATCTTATCCAATAAATTATAATAATTTTCCCTGATATAGCCGTCATATATAGGTTACGATTATTATTGTGAGTCCCCTTTGACAGGTGAAATTGAAGGGGGAAGAAGAATTAACAATCGACTACCTGGTACAACACGTGACCAGTGATTACACCAGCCTCGCCCACCAGGAGGATGGGGATTGGTGGGACCATCCGTGTTCATGTGTGGTTGTCCAGGCCATGAACAACTGTACAGATAAGGCTTCCTCATGTGTTATCTAATTATTTGTAGTCTTAACACCTAGTAACATTGTAGTGAATGTCTACCAATCGATAATTTTGATTGATAGACAATATAATTTAATTAACTACCCCAGCTTGTGTAGGAAACGATTTGTGGGAATTTCAATCATACAGTCCACTTTAAATTCATGCAGTTCGCTATCAAAATAAATAAACGTAAGAAATAAATTAATATATAAATTAAATATAAATTATTCATTCAATAAATTAATAATTGTATTAAAATAAATAAATCTCACGAGTCAGTTTTCCCCACACTCACTCACAAACATTGGGCTACAACCTCTCTCACACATTGGGCTACAACCTTTCTCACACATTGGGCTACAACCTCTCACACATTGGGCTACAACCTTTCTCACACATTGGGCCACAATTCATTTAGCTAAGCAAGTTACAGTCTTGATGACCTAGTTACAAAATTCAATGCAGATCGTCACATTAACAATGGGCTCGAGACCGACCACAAGTACAGTTTCTAAATTAAGCAACTGACATATGTGGAGAGCTAGTGTCACAATTGATATGTTTGTCCTGCACACCGCCCCCCATCCAGTGGGCAGCGGTGGATAGGTTACAATCACATAGTTGCTACCTACAGTTAGTAAACTGGGGATATTTGGCTAAGATTTCTGGTAGCAGATCATTTTGAATTAAATATTTACACATCTTTTGGGCATTTGTTATAGAATTGTTTCTGAATTCACGTATCTTTGCGCAGTTCTTCAGTGACGGAGGGTGTGCGAATAATTTCGTTGACACAGTTTACAGTTGGTCAGGTCTACATCAGCAGATAATGAGAATTCCCAGAGATACTTGTAAGTCTAAGCCGAGCAGTAGTAACATCTAGAAGTCTGCTGATTTTATTGGATGAACCATAGATGTGTGGCTCCTCATGCATGATAGTATGATGATAGATGGAATTACTGCTGACAATTTCACTTTGCCTCAGATCTACAAGATTTTGTTGAAGTTCTTGATGTACTGCTGCTCTCAGACTGCTTATTGACAATCCAAGGTTTTCTCATAGGCTCCTTTAAAGGCAGATTCTTTGGCTAACTCATCAGCTCTATCATGCATTCGGAGGCCAACATGAGATGGAGTCCACATGAAATGGACTGTTACCATCATTAATATTTTTTTTGTATTTGTGTCTAGCTTCGGACACGAGTATGTTACAGTTATGTCTTAAAGAGTTGAGAGCTATTAAAGATGATAAGAGTCACTTACATTTAATGTATCAAGTTTGGAGACTTTTACACATTTCAGTGCAAGGATCAAGGCAAATAGTTCGGTCTGAAGGGTAGAGGCCCAGTTGTTTATACGGACTCCCCACTCAAAATATAAGCCATCGCCCATTGTCAGGACAACTGCACTTCCAGCTGCACCCGTGGGGCGGTGTAGGGAACCATCAAATCAGTGTATATCATTTGAGAGAGAGAATGCTCCATCATATACACTGCATCAATATGGCTTAAGGAGTTGAGCTTTGCCTCAAGACGAAGCTTGGGCTGATCTCTAATTTGCTTCTTGGGTGGAAAGGGAGGGATTAAAATTGGAAAGGGTGTAACCTCCCACGGTGCAGGAAAGTGCCGTTGTTGTTTCTCTTGGTACAAATTATAAATTTGTTACATTCAGTTCCAGTTTTAGTTATCTATTTGGAACATTATTGACCTTCAATAAATAAATTCTGGAGGTCTTCAGGGTTAGGATGAGCTAGCCTAAGCATTTTTATACCAATTTGACAGTTAAATTCAGTACCTACAACCTTCCTTTTCTTTAACAATAGGCAACAGCCTCTCTCCTACATTGTGCTACAACTTGTCTCTCTAACATTGGACTACAACCTTTCACTCAATCAAGGTGTTACGACCTCTTTGTCATATATAGGCCTACAACTTTTCTTTCAAGCATTATGGACACGTCGATAGACGTTAGTTTTAACACTGGTGTCATTTCATTTCATTTGCAAATTCAACATCTCGGCTTTGGAAGGTCTGCTAGTATTGAAGTTTGACGAGGCATATAGACTAGCGTTAGGTTCCGTGGATAGAAAACTAAATTCTTCAACGAAAACGTTTTCAACATGTACATTTTTATATTTTACACTAACGACTTATATTACAATAAAGTTATAACTTGAGAATAATTTTTGTTTAAGGCAAAGGTTCATTTGCCAGTTTAGATTGTAACTATTACTGGAACTGTAATATGCTTTCAGACCATCACAAATATCTAGATGATTGGAGAGAGAGTGGTTTCTCTTGGTAATGGATTTGGCCTGAGGAAGGGCTCTCTAGTAGATATGATGTCGAGTCAGTATATTAGGCAATGCACTGTTAGAAAAGTGGGGTCCAAGAGCTAACTACTCGATCCTGCAGTAACAAATAATAAACACACACACACACACACAACCCAATTTTGAAAAAAAAAACAAAATATCCAATCAATGTATCCTGTAAAATAATTTAATAATTTATAACCTGGAAGCTTCAGATTAAAACGAAATCGGCAATACAAATGTTTACATCTTGGCTTCACGCTTAATGCACCACATTTTGCCCGCTAACAACCACAGCCTCAAAATTCCGGTGCCTTTCTGAAATTTAAAGCACTTCTATATAGACGCTTCCTGGAACTACAGAGCCTCAAGACTGGTAGGTGTAAAGGATTGACTAGGCCAGAAGACCCCCATCATATCTCACGCCTGTCAGCTCGTGAGAACGGCGCTAATAAACAAACGCCAATTAATCAGATAACATAAAGTGCGAGCCAATCATAATGCAGCTTTATGGAGGCATCGCAGTTAACAGAGACAAATACAACCACTCACCGAAGTACACTGGCTTGCTGCACTTGGGGCAGTTCGGCATGTTGGAGATGGTGAACACTTGATTCCTTGAGGGTGGAGAGGGCCGCGTGCTTGCTCCTGGGCGTCTGACGGGCGAGTGAGCGGCCAGTCAGGGAACCCCGCCTCTGGGGCCCGGAGGCTGGCAAGGTTGCCAGTAATTGACAGCTACGTGTTTATTGACACCTGAGATAACATCCAGCCATGGCTTCATCCACGGTCAAGACTGGGTGTTGTGATGGGGGCAGTGACGATGGCGACCATGTTGTCCGGAGTGGTGACTGGTGTTGCTGGGGTTGAAACACATAGTGAGCGTTGCAGTTGCTGCAATGTGTGTGTGTGAAACACTTATCAACAGTGTTTGCCCCGCGAAAAGCTTCATATGTGGCACATGATATGTAATGGTTGTTTCTGCACGAGCTGCGGTTACATAATGATTTACATAACAACACAGTCAGCCCAGTAGCAATGCAGGACCACAGTACTTGTATTGACGTAATGCACAATTAGAAACTGTAATCTGGCACTAATTAATTTGGACAAACCTGAAAAACTTTTGAATTTATGTTGCTTATAAAATCTAACAACCAAACCATCCTAGGCCTATAGGATGAGGCCTATAGTACATATATGTGCTATACTAGGCCTAGAAATATTTAAGTTTGGCTTTTAGCCTCATTTCTTCGGGACTCTATCAAGTAAATAGTACCGAATTCTACTATCTAATTGTCCATTACAGTCGATATGTGTCGGATAGTACACATACTTACACAGTGGACTAGGTTTTACTGACACATAATTAGTCTAAAATATTACCAACGAAAATGTTTGATTATTTTTATATGTTTCTGTATTAAAGGTCAGAACTTTCACTTTATAGTTACAGTTGACTGTTGGTAAATGTTTGTCAGTAATTTGTGTCGAAAGTCAGCATAACATGCCTTGTTACACTGCCCTCTGTGGTGACGTCACACTGCATTCTGTAGTGACGTCACACTGCCCTCTGCGGTGACGTCACACTGCATTCTGTGCTGACGTCATATATGGAGAATCATCCATATTTGGAGAATTATATCTAATTGACGATTTCCTGTTTCATTGTCAATTAGGGGGCTAATGAAGGCGAAGCAGGACCAGGTGGTGGCAGGTAAGAAGGTCTCAAGAGTACTGCTAGGGGCGCAGTACAGTTTTCGTGTTTATAACATCTAAGGCGATCAACCTTCTAAGATCACGAAGAGTGGACTGAAGGCTATAGTAGATGTTGTTGTTATAGATTCAGCTACTCGGAACAAGTTCCAAGTAGCACGGGCTATAGTGAGCCCGTAACTTACCTGGCACAGGAGCGGGGCAAGTAGCACGGGCTATGGTGAGCCCGTAGTGGACTTACCTGGCACTGAAACGGTGGGTGGCTATAATAGAGCTCTGGGGTCTTTAAATATAACTAAGGGCTGGGTAGTGGACGAAGGAGAGACATTACCCCAGACCCCCGTTACACTAGCCCCAAGCCTCTGACCTAATTTACAGGCAAACATTATATAATATAAATACTAGAAGGAGGTATACTCAGTGGTACCCGGGGTAGTCTGTTCCTTCTGCTGACCCCCCATTCCACCCCTCTTCTTTCCCTTTACCCATACATCTCTCTCTTCCATCACCCTTTCCAGTCCATATATTTTCCTCCCCCTCCCCCTCCCATTTCCAATTTCCCCGTTTCCCTGCCCCCTTGAAAATGTAATGAGTCGGGTGCCGTAAGGATCCATTTTGGGGCTCAACCCTCTTTGTCATACTCATAGGAGGAGACATAGAGGACATAGAGGAGATTATTACAAAACCACATCATCAAATCTGCAGATGACCCTAAGATTTATTGTAAAGCTGGTAATGAAAATGATATTCAAACCTTACAAAGAGATCTACATGACCTCCATTAATGGCCGGAAGATTGGCAGATTTGTTAATATCGAAAAATGTAAGACCCTGGTTCATAATGTACATTATAACTACGTATGATGTGCGTCAACAATCAACAACATCTTGCAGCAGATAGATGAACAAAAGAATTTTGCGTCAGAATCCATAATTCGCTGAAAGTTGCACAAGTGGGAGTTGCAGTGAAGAAGAGCCAACTAAATCCTTGGATAGTCAGACGTAAATTTGATTTTAGGGAAACGACGGCAGTTATTCTACTGTATAAGTCTCTGATACACTTGGATTATTGTATCCCAGCATGGAGACCTCGTCTACAGAAAGACATATCTGGTTCGGAGGAAGCACAACACCGGGCGACAAAAATAATTTCAGAACTAAGCTATCTCGAGCCGGGAGGTCGACCGAGCGGACAGCACGCTGGACTTGTGATCCTGGGTTCGATCCCAGGCGCCGGCGAGAAACAATGGACAGAGTTTCTTTCACCCCTATGCCCCTGTTACCTAGCAGTAAAATAGGTACCTGGGAGTTAGTCAGCTGTCACGGGCTGCTTCCTGGGGGTGGAGGCCTGGTCGAGGACCGGGACGTGGGGACGCTAAAAAGCCCCGAAATCATCTCAAGATAGATCTCTCATACTAGGAACGGTTGAGGGCCACAGGGCTAACAACACTACAAACCAGACATGACAGGGCAGATCCCATCAAAGCTTTTAAAACATTGAACAACTTGGAGGAAGTTGATCAATTCCATATGTCTTCAAAAGGTCAGCTGTAACACAAACAAGGAACAACGGATTCAAGCTCAACAATTAGCTACAATGTAGGACTGAAAACACAAGCTTTTTAATCCTCAAGGTTATAAACCTAAGGAATCGCCTACCCGCCGAAGTCGTAAAGGTCAAAACTCTGTTAAATTTAAAAATCCAACTGGAAAAGATCATCAGGCCAAATGGGGGGAGAGGGGGGGGGGGGGTGGCATTGACAAGCCGCCGGCTTCCTGTCCCCGTCAAGGCCACTGGAGCTTGTGGCCCTCAGATAAGTTCGGGTAAAATGAGAGACTTGAAGGACTATACACATTAGGGGAGGAAGAACGACAAACAGCGCGGGCACAGTGATGCCAACGAATCAAACCAAGTTAGGGGTATAGCTGTGCCTTATTAACGTGAGGGCACAGTTTTAATTTCTTAAGAATTTTAAAACTAGATTTTAAAGTTTTATCTTTTTTTATCCCCATTACCCTCTTTATTTCTATTTTATTCACCCAATTAACCCACCCGATTAACCCACCCGGTCTAATAACCGATTAGGTTTTTTAATCTAATTTTAAAAATCTTATCTTTTTAACCCCATTACCCTCTTTATTTAGATCTTATTCACCCGATTAACCCACCCCTTATCAATAATCCAAACAAATAATTGATAAGGGGTACCTGGTTGATACCTGGTTGATGGGGTTCTGGGAGTTCTTCTACTCCCCTCAGGCCGGGCTTGGGGAGTAGAAGAACTCCCAGAACCCCATCAACCAGGTATCAACCAGGTACCCCTTATCAATTATTTGTTTGGATTATTGATAAGGGTGGGTTAATCGGGTGAATAAGATCTAAATAAAGAGGGTAATGGGGTTAAAAAGATAAGATTTTTAAAATTAGATTAAAAAGTTAAGAAATAAGTAATTCCATTTTGATTTACAAGACCAAGTTTTTTTAACTATTAAAACTAATGGATACTTTAATTTAGTTTATATGTGTTCTTTAATTCTGTCCTCCTAATAGAAATTCGTATGACTTTGAATTGTCTAATGCAATTATTTGAAACAAATTAAAGAAAAAGAAATTACTTCAGATTTAGAAGAACTAAGAATTGCCCAGAAGCCTGAAAGCTGCAGTATTAAAAGCTATGACAATTTTTTTAATAATAGGTATTTGTATGGTCAGCACAGTAACCGGACCAGGCAATGTGATGTAGTCATTGCGCGAATTCGCCTTGGCTATAGACACGTCTGGCAGGTTAGTGAGGCTGAGCCACTACCAGAATACTCAGATTGTAAACTGTGATAAACCTTTAAAGCATTCACTAGAACACTATACAAAACCGTAAAATACTTTAGACCTCCTGGGGCCGGATTCAGGAAGGTACTTACGAAGGTTTTTCCTCTTAGCTAAGAGCGTTTTCCGTCTTAGCGCCTTCGTGGCGGCTACGTCCGTATTCAATTAACTACCCAAAGTGGAAAAATCTTCGTAAGTTCATTCCGGGATTTAAGTGTGGTTTTGACCACTCGTAGCTTTATGTAAACTGGATATAAGTCATTTTTTCTCTACTACATAACACTGGGATCGATTTATGATATTGGAACATGACCAAAATATTATAGCTGGTGAATGTAGTGGAGAGGAGTCCTTCGTGTTAGTTATATATGCATTCTCTGCTTGAAACTTGAAGTAAATATGTGTTTGATGATAGTAGAATTAGTTTTATAATAGCAAGATATTATACCAGTAGTTATTAAGTAAATAAACACTGGTGAACATGAAATATGAGAGAAGGTGATGAGCCCTGCCTGATGGGATCATTTACTATCACCAAATGCCCCTGTTCACCTAGTAGTAAGGGTGTACCTTAGCTATACATACCCATTTCTAATTTATTTAGTTTGGTTTTATTTTGAAATTAAATCTGGGTGAGACATAAAATAAAAATATGCTGCACAAATGATGTTAGGTAAGGAAAAGGGTAAAAATGTCAAAAACTTTATTCATTGAATACTTAAAGCTATAATTATGACTATATAGACTACTAAAAAAGAGAGAGGGAAGTAGGGGTCCAAGACCTCTTCCTGTTATACAATTTGGGTGTGGAACAAGTAATTATCAAAAGAAGGCACCATGCCGGGAAGGCTATGTAGCAGTAAGGCAGTGAGGTGAGGCAGCTACTTATTTGAGAAATGCTTATTTTATTTACCTTATAAGCTGAAGCAACTTATTTTATTTGAGGAATACTCAGCTGATTCCTCTACATTTAGCATGGAACAAATTTGTGTCCAAGACCTCTTCCTGTTACACAATTTGGCTGTGTGTAACCAAACTAGAAGTGCTCTACAAATCAAGGGACCCAGAATGTGGAATGAATGACCTCCCAAATCATGTCAAAGGCTGTACCTCTCTCAACCAGTTTAAGAGTTAAACCAAGTACTGCCTAATTAACTC